CCTAAATAGGGTCCAGTTTCCCATAAAAGTCCTCCCGGGAGGCATCCCCTCGGCAGATCGCCCACGTATTCCGTTGCCGTATACAACTAATCCAATCTGTACGAAACTTTAAGAGGGCAAAGTCCGATGACAATGCATTTTAATGATGTTTTAGGGGAGTGGTCTCACCCGCGCTATACTCCGTACCGAAGGCCGATCAACTTGGCTATGCGTAAATGCGCTGTAATTGTATATATGATAGGGTGTTGCCACTCCGGCCACCCCTCCCCAATCTCCAAGAGCGTGGTCTCCTGTTCCTAATCTTTCCTCCTTTAGTCTCGATTTTTATCTATCTAACTCCGTTCTCGCGATCAAGAAATGACAGAGGACGACAGTGGGGAATCTATAGGTCTGCAATTTGAAAATTGCAACCCAAAAAAGGATTTTATATTATATATTAGAGAATTAATCGGCCTGCAGACTATAACTCATTCGTATGGCCTTTTATTGTAAAGAAAGGTGGGGGAGGTTAAAATGGTTATGTTCAATAAACTTTTAAAATGGTTATGTTCAATAAACTTTTGTATTGTAAATGTTGATAAAGATCCGATGAGATATTTAAGTGGTTTCAAAGGATGTTCTACTCTATTCTCTTATTCAAAACCTCAATGCCCTTGTCTCGTCTCTTCATTATTAAAATCTTTAATTAATTATTCATAATTATCATCTTGCACTTCACGGAATATAGTAAAAGTCAATATTTGATTGATGATATTCAATGTTTTGACTTCTCGAATATTTTATTTACGTCTTTCATTTCCGATTTTTTTAACGTAAAGAAACGTAATAAATTCTTGAAAAGTTGTATCTCATCACTACAGAAATTCAAAACCTTAATATTATACGAGTTTTCTAGAAATATATCAAACCTCCGAAACGTCTTAAGTCTAAGTTTTTAAAATAAAATCTCGTAACAATGGGGCCACACGCAATTTTAAATTCTTTTGCCGGAAAAGTCACGCAACTCGTTGATGGATCTTGTTTTCTTTCTAAATAATAAATTTCGGACGATCCGCGGAGATTGAGTAACAAAACAAATTACTGAAATGAATATTAAAGAAATAAATACGCGAATGCTCGTGACAAAAGAAATAGAAGGGTTCGTGGCAACACAGAAATTGAAACTCATTTGATAGTGTTTGCTGACGAATTCCATTCCAGAAAAATTGAAAAACAATTACAGAAAACAGAGAAGAAAAATATTGAAAAGTAATTTCGTCTTTTCTAGTCCCAATTAAATTCTTATAATGTAGAGAGAAAACAAAATAACTATTGTATCTTTAATGCTGCATTTATCAAAAATACAGAGATTAATACATTTATCATACACACATTTGTCTGAATAAATCCCAAGAAACGTTTCAAAATACCGAACACAGTATCGATAAAAACGTTGAACGTGCTTTCGTATTGTATATTTTCGTATAGGCCCTAAATTTGGTTAGCGATTATTCAATAAGGCCCGCCACTGGTCGAGGGATAAAACCACTGAATTCTGGTAGTTGGTTACGGGTTCACACCTCACCAATGTGTGTAGTTTTCCGGGTTTTCTTGACGTCGGTAACACCTAAATAGGGGCCAATTTCCCATAAAAAGTCCCCCTCGGCAGATCGCCCACGTATCGCATTGCCGTAACCAAATAAACCAAACCTGTAGTTGGTCGCGGGTTTGGACTTCGTAACTGGCTAGCTACGTGGAGTTTTCCGCGTTTTCTTTACATTAGTAACAAATTTGTAAATTTTCTTTACATTAGTAACAAATTACATTAGTAACAAATTACATTAGTAACTAAATAGAATCAGTTTCCTATCCTCACACATGGCTGCCACCGCATTTTGTGATGGCGCTAGCGAAATGTAAACAATATGGATACCTTTTAAATGTGGTAGTACGCCCACGTGTTGCATTGCCTTATACAAATAAATCGAATATTAAAATATAAAATTTACATCAATAAAAAATGATAGACAATAAATCTTTTTAAAGATACACGAAGACCCTTAAAAAAATTATATGTACTTGCAGTGTCAATGGCCTATAAATAAAATATATAACTTTAAGGTAGTTCAGTTAAATAAGTTGGATAGAATTTGATATCGAGAAGTATGCTGGAATGATGGTGTCGAGTGGAGGAAGAGGAAGATAAAAGGCTTTGTTGGAGAGGTTATAATAAGCAGCAGAAAGATTGAAAGAGGCGATACTTTAAATAAAAATGAATGACAAGATAAAGATAAAATCATTTCCCTATTTCACTTTGAGAAAAAATATATATTAATTTAATCGACGACCTTAAAAAATTTTCAAAAAATTCCTTTCTTTGACCATGTTTTTCGAGGTTGGTAGTGGGACCACTCCAGACACATACGTCACTAAAGTGCATTTACTGACACATTTACACAGTGTTTATGGGATTTCGGGGTGGAGACGACGATGGGGGTAGGAAATACCCCGTAAAACACCATTAAAATGGCATTGTCGTCGGAGTGAGAAAGCCGAAACTATGAAGATTACTATCTTTATTAGGAATGGATGAAATTTGAGTCGATAGATTTAACTCGCATTGTGTCGTGTTCTTAAAAGCGTTTAATAATTAATAATAATAAAGTATTCCTACGTATTAGACAATTAATTTAGACTTATATTTAAATTAATTACAATGCTTCGCGATATTTCGATTCGTATTACAGTATAAACTCGATGAAACGTTATCCTGTAGGCAAAAAGGCATTTTCCAGAATGACATTGTCTATTAAATAAATTTCCCTCGGAGAAAAATGTCTTAAGTCAACCCCTAATTCAAATTTGCCCGGGCCCCACGAAAGTATAACGCGCCGCTGTCGTAATTAAAATACCCTTATTCGGCATTGTCTAAAGAGATATTTAACAGTCCGAATGACAGATACGCCGTAAACTAGAACAAGATATTCCAGTTGAAAGCTCAATCTGAAAAAAATTATAGATACGATTTCAGTTCACAATACAAATGATAAATATTATCGATTGGAGAATTTACACGTTTTTAAAAAATATTTTAATGACATCCTTCTTGAATTTCTTTATATTTTAATAACATTCTTTTGAAATGTTTGTATGTTTTAATAAAATAATACTTCATTTAAAAATATTAAAGAGTTATTTCTCTAGAGAGATTTNTTGAAAATAGTTCGTTTGACTAAACGTAAAAATTCTCTAATTAGTCTGGAAACGGGGTACCTAATTCTTGCATTCTGTGAAAACGGGTAAGATTAGCTATAATGTAATTATCTTAATCTTCACTATCGTTACTTTTTGCCCAGCGAAGCGGGTCCTTGCAGCTAGTTAAAAATAAAAAAAAATGAACTTTTAAGTTAGAAGGTAATTTTCGTTATTTAAATAAAACATATTAAAGTATAAAAATTTACAACGATACTGTATTTTGTATTAAGATTTTAAAAAGCAAAGATGGTCGATACTACGATCGCTGAATTTGATTCTTATTTTATTAAAGAAAAGTCCCGCTACCGACAATGCTCTTTTCGATTCAATTGATGCGAGGGGAATCGTGTTTAATGCATTTAAGAGAAGACGGATGTTGTGTGTTTTTTCACCCGTAGCCTGGAAGATTTCGAGATCGTAGTACTTCTTTCGCTCTCTAGTATTCTCGATTCGTCTACCTCGACTGCTTTAGAAACATCGAGCTTATAGCCCGATAATTCGGCAATTCGTTCTTCTAATAATCGGGGTTACGAAGAAAAACTTCATTCTCGCAGACTTCGTACTCGTTTGTATCCTCGCGTTATCGAAGCCATCTGTTACGCGATTTTATTTAACAAAAAAATAGAAAATAACGAAAACATATTTCTTTTTCCATTTTCCTTTTATCTAAGAAGTGAGAAAAGAATACGAAAGAACTGTTATAAAAAACCATGGCAAACCGAAGATCGATTTTAATGCAAAAAGCAAATAATTGGGTAAGCTTCGTATCGCGCCAACGGAAGAAAGGTGTAAACCCGTTTCGGTAAACAAATGTATAAAAGATACGATCCCGAAAAAAGTGGCCGTCTTAATTAAATCATCGTTTCGTTGCCAAATAAAACCGGGAGCGGATCTAGGTTTTTCGGGGCCCGGGGCTGACCGAAGTCCAATGGGGCCCCATTTTTATTAATATAGTAATAATAATACTCTAAATTAACTACTTTTTATTGCGCGATAAGTGTTCGCTGTTAATGAAAAAGTATTACAAATTTATGACGATAAATTTTTAATACTTTTTCAATTTTTGTGGGCACTCGACACTCGGGGGCCGGGGCTTAAGCCATATTAGTCCCTACGTAGATCCGTCCCCGAATAAAACGTGTATTATAAAATGGCACAGCCTAATATCGAGGGGAGACGAGTTTTATTTACAAAAAAAAAAAAAAAACTGTAAATGCTAACAAGGTATAAAATCTTCATTAAGGCCGATCCCACTCGAGATACGACACGCGATTCCTCTGTATTTCCTCACCCCTCGACCTCGATGCCTTACATACAAAGCTACCGCGCTAAATTCCGTTTCTTAACCATTACTCCATCCCGAGATATTAAACGAAATAGACGTCGACATAAAACGAAAAAAATCCGCGTACGTAACTTTTTCGGGTTCGAGTTCTCATTTGATACTGGGAGGGCCGTAACGACACCATTACAATACTTTTCCCTCGTTACGTATTACGTGTAAAATGAACTTTAAAACATTTTGGCCATGTTAATTAACACCGGATTTTTTCTTTTTTTTATATTAAATCCTGGCATTTACAAAGTCGACTTTTAATGAGGACGAACTCGACGATTTAGTTTTATTTATTTAAAAAAGAAGAAATTGTTGACGCTTTCAATAGGATAGAAGAATGAAAAAAAAAATGTTCACGAAGANGCCGAAACTATGAAGATTACTATCTTTATTAGGAATGGATGAAATTTGAGTCGATAGATTTAACTCGCATTGTGTCGTGTTCTTAAAAGCGTTTAATAATTAATAATAATAAAGTATTCCTACGTATTAGACAATTAATTTAGACTTATATTTAAATTAATTACAATGCTTCGCGATATTTCGATTCGTATTACAGTATAAACTCGATGAAACGTTATCCTGTAGGCAAAAAGGCATTTTCCAGAATGACATTGTCTATTAAATAAATTTCCCTCGGAGAAAAATGTCTTAAGTCAACCCCTAATTCAAATTTGCCCGGGCCCCACGAAAGTATAACGCGCCGCTGTCGTAATTAAAATACCCTTATTCGGCATTGTCTAAAGAGATATTTAACAGTCCGAATGACAGATACGCCGTAAACTAGAACAAGATATTCCAGTTGAAAGCTCAATCTGAAAAAAATTATAGATACGATTTCAGTTCACAATACAAATGATAAATATTATCGATTGGAGAATTTACACGTTTTTAAAAAATATTTTAATGACATCCTTCTTGAATTTCTTTATATTTTAATAACATTCTTTTGAAATTTTTGTATGTTTTAATAAAATAATACTTCATTTAAAAATATTAAAGAGTTATTTCTCTAGAGAGATTTATTTATATTTTATTTCTTAATATTAATAATAATAGAAATTTAAATTTTATAGTAGTTTTATTTTTAATATCCTATTCAAATAAAGATTTTCTGATCAGAATTGCTTTTGTATAAGAAAGACCTTTGAATATCTTTATGTATATAACGATAAATAAATCGTTAGAAAGGTGAAGTCTGCTTAAATATCGTCATATAAGCTCAAATCATTTATACTTTGCCCGAAAAACAGATATTTACTGTATGGCAAATTTCGGCATTTTATCGCTTAAGATCTTAATTATTTGATTTTTTTACCTGCCGAAATCTTGACTTATATGCAGGAATCGAACTATTGTTGTTAAGTAAATATAAATATACACAGTCAAACCTCGATATGGCGCCCTTCTATAGACTGTAGCGCCACCCTCTTTGTAAGTATCCGTTGGCACTGTATTAAATTGTCTGAATAATAAATTTATGATTTGAATTCAAAATTATAGTTAAAAAATTAGTCTTTATTACTAATAAAAATAACTATTTATTTAGTGAAAAATTCATTATATTCCGTACAAACATACGAAATTTGTTTGCTCTAGAATAACAAAATCATTAAAACCATTGTTATGTAAATTTAACTCTTCAGATATGTTTTAAATTTATGTTACATCCTATTAAAATTATTTCTGCTCATTGAACGTTTACGTAACAACAGTAATTTTTTAATGGTCTAGCATTATTTCCCATCGAATGCATTGTATGAAATCTCGATTTATTATCAGATTGCTTGTATTTTAATTGGGTTTTTCTTGTATCGTTCTGAACCGACGAACACTATCAAAATCAGATACTTCTAAATAATCCCTAAAACCCTCGGGGTAGAAAAAAAAATCCCTTACTTTCTCATGATCGCGATAGAAATCTTTCGTCTCGGTATGTTGCTTGGGAATTTATTGACTGCTCGAGTATAAAATAAGGTAAAAGTACTTCCTTTCTGACCAATAACTAAGAATTTTCTGACAAGAAAAAAAAGCGGATTCTACTTTTATACGTGTATAAAAGTCAAAAAAATAAAAACTAAAATATGATCTTTACGAGCCTGTTATGGCCGCCATCTTGTTAATTGTTGTAAACGAGCGTTAAAACTACTCACGTAGCGTATTTTATGTTCCTGACTAGGGATTATATTTAAGAGAATTTAAAAATATATTCTAATATTACGTAGTAAGGAGAAACACGCGAAATCCTCGCTACTGTCATTTTTCTTATCGATCTAGAATTCCAGAATGGCGAATGTTTGCGTTGAGTTACGGTGTCATTTATATCCGACATTTGTAAATTTACAAATCCGCGAGTGTTATTTAAGATTCACGACTTTCGTGAACTTGTAAACTCGATGCCACCGCCGTCTTCTTATAATTCAATTCTCTAAAAGACAGATATTACCTCGTCCCACGTCATTCTTATTGAATAGAAGGGTTTGTTCCCTTCCTGAAGTGTTTGTTTTACTCACTTCTATAAGTAACATCGAGCAGTTTCGATTGATACCGGGATAATTTCTTTTGTTCTTAATTGTTACTCGTTCTTCTGATGGATTCTTTAGTGATAAGCATAAATTTTGCTAAATCACACAGGAACACACTAGTAATTGACTATGCCTACTTTATTATACAGGAATTATACAAAGAATTAGAAAGACGAGGAGTTACGCAGAGATGTAAGAAATATAAGAAATTATACGAAGAAAGGCCCAAAACGTATAATAAAACTAGCATAGTTAATTACTGGTTTGTTCCCAATTGATTGGTTCTCTTCGGAAAAATTTATGCTTATCAAAGAAAGAGGATTATTTCTAGTAAGGAAACTGGACGAAAGTCCAGATTGGAAAGATATTAGCAGCATATTAAAAATAATTTAGAAATTCGATGCCATTTAAAAAAAGAAAGGTTAAGCGTGTGTGTAATCTTCAAAAATTAAGTTTACTTAAGGCTTACGTGATAAGAACTAATAAAAAGTTGATTAGAAGGGAAGAAATTACTTCGGAGAATTAATAACAATTAATTTCGACCGTGTCAATGAGAATTAATGAAATTTTTCAAATTAACCGTTGGAGGGATTTAATACCGTATCTCACCACTGTTGACAGATTAATAACACTTTGAAGAGAGAAAACACGTCTTCAAAGTGTTTTTATATCTTTAGTTTTCTCCCCAAAAAATATACTTTTGAAGTGAAAGGTGTGACATTTAAGAGGAAAATAATTTCTTAATATATTTTAAAAGCAAGCTCCTTCTTTTCCATTAGTATTAAAAATTAATTAACATTTTCATTTAGCTATAACGGAGTATCAAATGTAGCCTATATACATATAAAATTAATCCTATATTTTAAGGCTTAATTATATGTAATGGTGTAAAGGTTGATATATAAATTGCCTATGCACCAACTGTATATTTAACATCCTATCAATATTTAACGATACAGTTTGAAATTTAATTATTTATGTAATTATAGTATGGTAATAATCGGTAGCTACCGGGATACCCTTTACCTATACAAGTAAATAATTAAGAGAAAAAAATTAATCAAATAAGTAATGTACTGTACGTACAGTACAAGCGCGGTGACAACACACTTATACAAGCATATTCAGTAAAACCTGTCCAAAACGGAAAAATATTCTGTGCCGTACTATTATACAGTAACACCTGCCCCCTTCTAGTTACGCTACTGATAGTAACAATGCGTTATAATTATTACGTATGCATGTATATACAGATATGATCTATATAATAATTATAATTTGTATTATATATAGCATATATATATATGTATATAGACACACTCAAAAACACTACATTGTTACTTATCCTTTTACTGACGTAGTTCTTATGCTTTCCTCGTAATTATGTAAATAATTAATCATAATTTACATCTTCAGTTTAAAATGCGAAAGTATAATTCTCATATTCAAAGTTTTATTTCAGATCGAATCACTGTATTGTTAAACAGTTGTAACGATATCTGTAACAATTTAATTATACAGTAATTAAAAATATAATTAATTGATGTTAATTATTACAAGTAATATAATTAAAAAGATAAACAATCGAAGAAGTAGGATTCAAGAGAGATTATTTTTAAAATGCGTGAAATATTTTAAGAGGAAACCGAATTGAATTTTATTCTCGTCGTCCATTTTAATTTCGGCTTAAAAATTAAAAAGGATACCGAAAGGCAATTTTCGTAAACAAAAATTCTTCAAATGGCAAATAAAAGTTCGCGATCGATACGTTTGTCTTCCCGGATCAAGTATATTGTCTTTAGTCGAAAAAACACAATAAGATAAAAATACAACTTATCCATGAAACATTTCTTGAATTTCTTACTTTTTTTTTCCTTTCTGTAAAACCACTCTTATATATATCTTTCGAATATAACGTCGGCAACGTCGTACATTTATTGAATACGAGATAAAGTGGTCCCTAGCAGACTTTTCGATGCAATAAAGTCACGGAAACGTCTCTCGAAAAATATATCATACGTGACATTGTCTATTAAATAAATGCATCGCGAAAGGATCGTCTGATCCGCTTTCTAGTAGCAACCAGATTTGGCTTTCTTCCAAAAGTAAAGCCGACATTAAAGCAAAAATACCCCCGCCAATACTTTTTATAATAACACGCCTTAAATCGAAAAAATAAAAATAAACTATAGATGTAGATGGGTGAAATTAATTTTACAGTATCAGCAAATCATTATTTACTATACCTAACTTACACTTGCCGAGACCCTAAACTATAACGGGCCCTTCTCTACTAAATGGTACGTGTAAAAATGTGATGCCCCGAGTTATAGATTAATAACGCCAGGCCCTAATCCGCAGTTTGTTTAGCGCGTGTCTACGCTCTCTGTACTCGGGGCCGGATTTACACGTAAGGTAAAACTGCAGTTTAGGGCCTGGCTTTATTAATTTATAGCCCGGGGCGTCACATTTTTACACGTATCGTTTAATAGAGAAGGACCCGTTATATACTATAGTTTAGGATCTCATCGAGTCTAAAATCGGGTACACGCGTAGCGATATACCTGAACAGGTGCACCTGTCCGGTATATCTGAACGTGTAGAGGAGAAGGTGGTATTATGGAACACTGCGGGTATTATGGAACCACCCCATTTCGAACTGATAATAAAGGCGAACTGTAGTGGAATGTGGCTGAACTGAACTAGGCAGACATCCATAGCGAGGGGAAAACCCGTTTTACTTCAGTTAAACGGTTGTTCGCATTTAATCAGCAAATTTGTTTTTTTCAAAATTCGCAAGTTTTGAATGCTAAGTGAATTTAATTATTTTTAAAATATAAATCGTGTAGTTGTAGGTTCACTGGTGCATGTATTCCGTTCCAGAGACTTAGGGGTACATATTAATCTGTGTGATGTTCACGTTTTTTAAATTTTGGTCTCGACAGACATAAGTTAATTCGAGATGGCGATGCGTGAAATACGGACCCCATTGGTGCTTTTACAGTAATATGGAACTCAACTCCTCCGAACTTTCTATTTGCAAGCAGACATTCCTCCAGAGCAATTTGTGAAAAAGACACTAGGTAGAAAGCCAATTCTTCCCGAGAATATCGAAAAAGAGCTGCTGGAATATATATTGTTGATGGAGGTCATATTTTTCTATTATAAAAGCATTTTTGCGATAAAATACATTGGAGTAAATAATTTGGTAATTATTTAACATTTTTTGTCCTTTCCTATTTGTTTTTGGCTACATTAAAGCATTTTTTTGAAAATATACAGTAAGGTTCCATATTACCACCCGATTTTCTCTAAGCCTACTTTCGGACTTTTTGTACAAAAGCCTTCAAAAACCATACTTATAATTACACTAGCGAAAAATCCAATTAGGAACACTTAGTTTAATAGTTACCATTACTTTTCGCACAAAAAATGTGGGTGTAGTTATGATACCTTGTTTACAATTCACTAAAATGTAATTGGGGTTCCATAATACCACCTTCTCCTCTATATGACGGAACTATTCATTTTTTTCCATCCACACAGATATACAGGATGGGCATGCTTATTCAAATATTCCTGTCAGGTATACCGGTACTTACGATACAGAATTAAGCCGCGTACGCGAGTTACTAGGTTTTAATAGAAAACACTACGCCTACACGTTAAAATATCTGTTTATTATAATATAAACCCGTAATATTTGCTTGTAATATAAAATTCAATGCTTTTAAATTAAAATTACATCTTAAAATTATCATTTTACACAGTCTTAGAAAGAGATTAAACTTACTCTTCGATAAATCGTCAGGAGAGTAGGCATAATCGTTAGCAATCTAATGTAACGAACTTTCATATTAATGGATAATATATGCTGATGTTATCTACTTAAGAACAAATTACTAAATTATTAATTAAGTTACACTAAAAGCAAGTTAAAATTTTAAAATTTGCAATAATAAATCCTGATTCTCGACCGCAGATTTTTGTTTTTAAACGACGAAACAAGTCGAGAGTTAAATTATTATTTGCCGTGTCAATTTAGCAAGAATATTAGAAGGAATTACGGGGAAAAAGAAGCTATTGTTCTAGCAAGCATCAAAATTTATTTGGCATCACGTCTGTTGTTCTTGCTCCTTAACGATTTCTCTTGTACAAATAAATAAGAAACCGAAATTACTTCAGCCGGTTTAAGCGATACTTCGGCATCTTTTAAACTATTTATAACTCACCCTCCGGTGACATTTTGATTTTACGAAATTAAATAACTTATTTAATCGTTTATTGGATGAATTACTCTCGAAACACCGTAGAAAGAGTTACGCGCAACTCGAGTTTTCTATTTATACACCGATATAATATTACAATTATTCAGGATTTAGAGAATGGGTGCCGTTAGAACAGGGGCGGCGAAGCACGCGCTTCCTGCCGTTTTAAGAGAATGTTACTCGATTACCTTAAAATTACTTTAACTACGATTTCGATAAAGATTAGGTAACTGAAGTAACGCAGCTGACCCCTTTTTAACTCTCTCCGCCCCGCGGGCACCGAGGGTCTATTTCTTTTAGCAAACCCATTAGAGGTTCGGCCAGGCCCACAANAATGTTACTCGATTACCTTAAAATTACTTTAACTACGATTTCGATAAAGATTAGGTAACTGAAGTAACGCAGCTGACCCCTTTTTAACTCTCTCCGCCCCGCGGGCACCGAGGGTCTATTTCTTTTAGCAAACCCATTAGAGGTTCGGCCAGGCCCACAATGGAGAAGCCTGGTAGTTAGAGACGGAGCGACGTGTCTGGATGGACCACTCCCGAAAAATTTCGCATTTAATGCAAATCCATCATTATTAGTCCCATATATGCTATATTTCTACGGTTTTTCTTTCAAAAAAAATATATAAAATATATATATATATGTCATGTTTGAAAGCAAATTTCTTTGAATATAATAAAATATTCTAATGTCGACTGTATGATATGTATAGGCTCGAAAGATGTAACTTCGGCTAGAAAGAACGAAAAGCTTTCAGCGGAAAATAAGAGCGACAAAATTTTCCGCTCCAGCTGCCAGAAAAAATAGGAAAGTTGTCAACAGATTGTCATTTCTCTTCTCGGACGGAATTACATTTAAACACTAACTGCGATCCAAATCGATAGTAACGGGCAATCTCCCGATAAAAGTAATAGCACTTGACACTTTCGTACTTTTTAAATTTAAAGACTCCTTTAAAGAACGGAAATAAAAAATAAATTAACTCTAAATAAAGCTCTTAAAACTTTATAAATATTTCATTCTTCGAATTTCTTTTCAAAACGCGTGATTCGTCCATTCAATTTTTAAATTTCGCGCACGTCATAAAAATCCAAGATTCTTATTGGATACGGTCATTCCGTAACGGCGACCGAATAAAAATAATTGACAAATGGTCGTCGACGAGAGGTCATAGATATTTTATATATAATTAAAGAAAAAAAATATTTAATAAAACTTTTAATGCGAAATACAGTAAAAACAATCTAAGAATATAATTTTTAATTAAATCCAATAAAAGTTTTTAATAAACGACGTTTTAATTTTCGAAACAAAAATATTTGAGTAACAACAAGAGCAATTTAGAAGCACACTCACACGCCGCCCGGCTAGCTCAGTCGGTAGAGCATGAGACTCTTAATCTCAGGGTCGTGGGTTCGAGCCCCACGTTGGGCGCTTTCTTTTTTTTCCTCTTTTTACCTTTTTTTTTAAACATTGAATCTTAAAAAATAAATTTTAAAGTCGTAATTTATACAGAAATAGATCAAAAACGTTAAAAATTTATATCGAAACACGGTATTAATCTTTACGCCAAATTTAATATTTGCCATTTTACTTTCAATAGGATATTACTTTTCCTAAAAATTAAAAAAAAAACTAATAAACGCGAACCGAATCACAATATCGAAGTTACGACGGAATAAAAGTTTTTAAAATGAAATATTTTGCACGTTTTGATTTTGAACCTCTTCTAGATTAATTTAAAATTAGAATTTATTTTTCTTGTTTTTTATACATAAAAAAATCGTTTTACAGTAGGCGGGAATAACTTTTAAAAATATAACACTTATCAATAATGTTTAAACTTCCACCATCGGAAAAAGAAGAAAAAACAAAAAAATTCGCAGTTAAATAATTATTATTATACTCTCTAGATGGCGCCGCGTATTTCGAGTCGGAGACCGGAAGTAAAATCCGAGTTAACCGTTACTTAAATTTTAATTCCGATACGAAATTTATTTTCCCAGTTTTTATCTTTTTACTTATTTTTTTAGATTTTAATAATACAGTAATACCCCGAAGTTACGCGATAGGTGGGACCGAGCGATAACCGCGTAAGTCGATGTATTACTGTATATATTTTTTCAAACAACTTATCGAGATTACTCGCCCAGAGGTAGTAATATTTTACGAGTGTTCCATTCAATTAATTTGAAACGAGATAAGAAACTGTTTTAAACGAAACTAATTTCGTTTCTAAAAGTTTCTAACGTTAAAAAGTAATAATAATAATAAATATCTATATATAAAGACAGACAAGTATATCACGTGACAGAAAATCTTCCAATCGGACTATCGCTAACAATAAATGGTCTACGTAAACAGTTTTATACGACTTATTATTTACTGAATAGATAGCATCGTACGTTTAACAGTTTATGTCGCGTAAACATATAACGAATATTTAACATTAACTATAAAATATGTAAATTAGTTACATTTATTGGAAACATAATGCGATAAAACTATGAACGAAAAGTAAAAGGATCGATTAAAATATTCATTTATTCTTACAAGTCGAATCTAGCGGGGGCAGAAGGGGGCGCGTGCCCGGGGTGGCAAAAATCCCAAAATTGTTACGGGCGAGGCGTACGAAAGGCCTTTCCAAACGGCGCCATATTTAAGTTTACACCCGGTGCCAAATGCTCTAACCGCGACTCTGCCAGTCTGTAATCCTACTTAAAAATAAATATGTGATGTAAATATATAAGAAAGTTATATACATATTCTTCGTTTATTCCACAATATTCCACAAATTCTCTTATAATTTATTTAATTCAATTATTAAAAATATCGACGGCTGAATGGCTTCATTGTATCTAAATACCAAAACAGGGCGTTAAGAGTTCTACTAATAAATATATAATATTCTTGACAAGAATTTTATATATTTATTAGTAGAAATCTTAATACGAAAGGATAATGGCAGCAATTTAACGTTTACGGGCGCAGATTACAGTTAAAGATGCGGCTTAAAGACACATACTGGTATGTAACGCGTTAACTTTAGTGTAGGAGTTACTTAGTACAATGCCATCACTCTTCTTCGGACGTCGAGGTAAGGGGGTGAATTTATTTATTTATTGGTCTATTTTTAAAATTATTCTCGCCTTAGCAGGAAATACGAATAAATTAATATACCGTAGATGTGTTTTACAGAAACGTTCGAACTTAATGTTTGACATTAAGAAGTTCATTAAGGTCGCGGCATCTAAAAGTTAGTGACAAAACGTGACGGGGAGAAGGTAGATAGTCAAAAACACTTAAAATTGGTATCATCATATATGAATGAGCGCGTACAAGAACGTGCCCCGATAATTTATACCGCCGATCGGACTAACACGGGAGGTGTGCGCCCGAAATTAGTTTCCGGAAACGTTTAAACAAATAATAAATACAATAATCGTAAGAAAAAATAATAATAGATTAGTATATAAACAATAAAACTGCTAGGTGATATTTAAGATTAACGTTAAAATATTACCAAGAACGGAACTTACTCTTTTTAAAGTCTTATCACCCGCTTCGGATCCCGCTAATTTTCGATCGGTCGTTTTCGAGATCCGTTAAATCGGGGACATTCTAATCGAGGTCGACTGTATGTCGGACCTGTTCCTCGTCTTCCAACCGAACCAAACTGCAATGCGTAAAGATTCTCTGACTTTCTACAATTCCTTTCCTCTCCTATCTCCTAAGTGGATAGAGTATAAAATTAAATAAAGACACGTAAATCTACTTTTAATATTCAATTTGATCCTTTATATTCATTAATAAATCAACGTAACATTAAAAATTTTATTATCATTTCTTATACAAAGGATAAATGATAAAGATAACACGTAATTTAGAGCCGAACTCGGGAGGAATTAGAAATTTCGTTTGATAAACCTCGAATATTTTTTATATTTTTTACGTGCCTAAAAAATATTTTCTAATTTTCATAAAAGTTTAAAAACAATGAGCATTAATAATCGATTTGCCGAATTATTTATTGGGTTATATTAAGGCAAATTAACAATCCGATACAAGCAATTTGGCACAGCGAGGAGTTGCGGGTTCGAGTGCCGCTGCGGACTGATTCTTCCAGATTATTATAAATTAAAATTCTAAAAATTGATTTATTTATAATTATTATATTTACCATGAGATTGCGGCTTAACCACCCCAACCAAATTGCTTTGTACTGTACCTGATTATTAATTAGCCTTAATATAGCTCGATAAATAATCCGGCAGACCATTTGATAATACTAGTGTATCGGGTTGATGTATACGTTAATAAGAATCAAAATAGAATATTTAAAAGTTAATACAATCAAATATATACAGTAACTTATTTTTTAAAATAATGCTTAATTTTATCTGAAGTTTTACAGTCTAAATCGTACTTCGTCTATACCGTGTTTATAATATATTCTGTATATATTATATTCACGGTATTCTGTATATATTATATACGGCTTATATCAGGACTAAACTGTTATAGCTTAGGGCCATAAGATATTATTTAGGTGGAAAAGGGTCTAACACAAAAATATGAGGCCCTAAGTTGAAACTTGTTTAGCTAATGACTCGCCTTTTACTCGATGAAGGACGACACTTTGAGGACATAAAATTCATTGGCATGGGATTTAGGTAATGTTTAAGGGGTAGCTATACCCCTACCGTTCCCCCGAAACCCGACAAACAACCAAATGTACAGTTTAATCACGCGAGTGTACTGTACGTACTGTACAGTACAGTACGTTGTAGCGATGGATACAGAGTCTCCTCCATTATACCCCATTCTAATCTCGAAAAAATTACTAATAAAAACGTTATTAAAGTTTAGAAATACTGTATAATTACAAATAAATGGTCAAATTTGCTTTCTTTTCTAAAAAATTATTATTAAATAAAAGTAATATAATGATTATATATTAAATGAATACACGCTTATATTTTTCCAAGTTTACTTGCTATTTTAATTTTTATTTTAAAAATCAAACAAAAAATGATCGATGTATCGATTGTGACATTTGAATTCAAAAGTTTGACATTTCGAAACGAATTTCTCTCTCCCCCTTACAACAGATCGATCGAATTTAATTTCATGGCGCACGAAATTCTCTCTCTCTCTGGCATTATAAAATCATAAGGAAGCTTATTGAAATTGTTATGTCTCTTGAAAATATAATTTAAAATGAACGATATTTTTATAATAATTTAAAATCCCTTTATATTCATAACACTATAATCTGTCAAACTTTAACCCCCCCTTTTTGCATCGGCACTCCGAGTGCCAAAAAGTGCAAGATAAAACCTTTGCAAAACTGTTTATTTATAAGTTGTTTGTTTTGCATTGTATTTTCTGATTGGATAAACCAAAAATTTTAAAAACTTGGAAGGATTGTTTTTATATATGATGCATTACTACTATTAAATTTTGATGGTTATAGTTCGAGGTGGTGGAGAGATAGAGGCGGGTTTCTACAAATAACTGTCGGAACGTAAACAAATTCCGTAGTAAATTGTTTCATTCGATTCAATCAACTGATAAAACGTATTCAATTTTATATATCGAATTTATTAAATTGATAGAAGAAAAAATTTGATTTTATTTTCGCTTCCAACTTATAGAATTTGCTACAAGAATAACACGTAGATACATCCAGAATACATCGAGTAGATACTAGACGACTTTACTTCAAAGACGACTCTACCAAGTGTTTTATTCGGGAGACAATGCCACCTTTTTTTACAGGAAGTTGGACCGGAAATCTTCGATATCCCCGTTAACCAGCGTATACTTTACAGAAATAAAAAAACCTGTCCACTATATCTTGTCACTAAATTTAAATTAATTTCAGTCGATAGTCGGAGAGTATATTCGATATCGATACGCGGAACAGTGTGTGTATGCCGGCGTTGCTCGACTTTCGAGGGGGGCGAGGATTGCTGAGGTGAGATTGTAGGAGAGCGAAAACGAGAATATACTTGTACGGACCCGAGTATTTATTATAATGAAACTGCACAACACAAAAAATTGCTCAAATCAACGTTGAGACGGAATGGGCTTTAGAAGTGTTTGGGTGAGTGGGAACCCCGCAGTAATTTTCTAGGCTGTAGAATATCCGTGCTAAATTTGGTACGGAGTTTCAAAGAGGGTGAACAAAATCGTGCCTCCCCACACACGCTAACAGCCATACATACAGAAAAAAGAACCGAATTTTTTTGCATTTCTCGACGTTTCGAGAGGTCCTACGTCCAAAAATGTAAAAATCTTGGGATCGCCCTACTCCCTGTGTTGTGTATAGGTCTAATAGAGCCTGGAAAGTAAAAGTAGAAGTGAAAAAAACTCATTTAGAATTTAATATTTATAAAGATAATTCTTTTTGTTCATTAAGTTTCGTAGACAATAACTCTATAATGCCAGTTCTATTCCTCATAAAACGAATTCTGCAATAATCTTTGCTTTTGATACTACGAAAATAATTATTTTTAATTTCCACGTAAGAAAATATTTTTAATCTTATATAAAATTTATAATTTAATTTGATACATAGATTTATTTTTAATATTAATAACACAAATTTGTTTTATTTGTCAAGAACTATAATGACTGGAAACTTTTATAATTGAATAGGCTATATCATTGTCATCATCATCATCTAATTATATATTAAATAATTAATATCTATCATTATTATTAAATATATTAAATTCTTCTCAAAATACTCGACTAAGTATAATTATCTTAATACTAGGATTTTTATACAGGGATGAACTGTTTGGTGCAAAGACCATTTTGAAGCCCCCTTTCGGAGATCTTTGCTTATAGAAAAACAATATTGAAGTAGAAAAATAATCTAGTCCGTGACCAATTTCATTTGGAAAATGCGCAATTTTAAAAATGTTTTCCCTCTTATGGTCCCATCTGCACTCCCTCTAGTAGTTTTATGCGTAAGTGGTGAAAACATGGAATAAAAGTCGTCGTAACAAGACTATATACACTCGTGTAAAAATTTGATTTCATTTTTCTATTCTGTAATATCGAACCGGGTTCTCCCGCTTCCGTCGAAACGTCTTCGCTTATAACGTCGCCGACGAAAGATCATTTACAATGATCGCTGGCGAATTTTCGTTACAAACAGTAAAATTTGATTATATTGAGGTGGAAATAAATGCTGCCGGTTGTAAACGCGATCCAATTAGCATAATATTAACTTGTTTGTATTAAACCTACGGTATAGTTAGTTAAATGCTAAATATTTATTGCTGGAATAGAGAATAATTTTCTATTTTTGTTCCCACATCTTATTCCTGTTAAGTATTAATAATTATTCTAATCTCGCTGACATTAGCTTAATTGTAATATGATTTTAATACGATATCGCGCCAATCAATAAGTATTCATTAAGTATATTAATTTCGGAATTAATTACAATAATATGGAACTAGTTTAAATCCAAAATTTGACTAATCCACCGGTAAATAATTTAAGTTTTATTTTAGAATAACTTAGTTTAAGGGGAAATTTCTCTCTCTTGAAGTTTTAATGAAGTTGCTGTTAATAAAATATAAATTGCATTAATATTCTAATTTATAACTTGTATATACCGTATTTCCTCGTATATACCCTTAAGCGAGGTTATAATAACCTCGCTTAAGGGTTTACTACCTCGCAGAGGGAGACGAGTGGGTAAAAACAAAGAAATATTGTACTTTAATTAATCCTACATTAATCCGAACTAGTCACACAATTTATTGACTGTATTTACGGGTTACAGCTACAGCATTTGAAAGGATTAGTGTTATCACAGTTAATCCCGATTTAGCGCCTTCCAATTCGGCTATTACATTGTCATTCGTGTCTGCTTCGACGATTCGTACGACAAGAACTCTACCGACATCGTCTGGTTCAAACTCGCCATTTCTTTCCAAAAGAGATGGTGAGTTCCAAGAGGTTTTCCTCGGCTCTCGAGATGTCAACTCGATCGCGACTTTCCCACGTTCGAAATTATAAAGATTGCCGAATATTATTTCCAAAAATGTTTCCGTGAACCCTCAATAGAAATTGCTGTCCGACTCTAGGCAATTTAAAGGGGTACAATTTCAGTTAAACTTCTATACAGTGCATTAAATCGTGTTTCACGTGTTCTCCACCCAGGATTTAAATTAGTTACCGTATTTCCCCGATTATCATACAGACTACTAAGAAATACATTATTCTATTTTAGACTATATTATTCATTACGAGAAACTTTATATTCCACTTTCCAGAATCACAGCAGGGCCTTAAAGTTTACCCTTTTTCTCTCCCATAGAGTTGTTCAACAGGTACTCTCATCTCGCAGGCAAGCAATACGGGTCGATTTAAAATGGTATCTCTTATGGCGTGGTCCGCTATATAGAAATAGAGCGGTGTGGCGCACTATAATCGTTCAAACAAATCGTTTGAACGAAAGGACGAAAACTAATCACAAATCCGTGCCCGAATATTGGATTGGTTTAGTTTGTTTTACTTGGTTACGTGGGCGATCTGCCGAGGAGATCCCCCGATAAATTTAGTTTAAATTTTATTCTTAAAACCTCTAGGGCAGTGTTTTTCAACCTGTGGATCGCGACCCCAAGGGGTCGCAAAGCCTTACACGGGGGTCGCGGGTAAAAGAAAAAGACAAGTGTTTGTAAGTTCTACACTACAATAAAAAAAACTACATTTTCAATGAGAAGGCTGTACCTGTTTATTATACAGTATAATTGGTTTTTCGATCGATATTTAGGTCTCAACAGAAAGAAAATTAAACACAGTACATAGTTTTTAAAATCACTGATATAGTTTCAATATGGCCCTGGGGGGTCGCCAGAAGTTTTTAACTTGTAAAGGGGTCGCGTATTCAAAAAGGTTGAAAAACACTGCTGTAGGGGATCCAACACGTACAGTACATCACCCCCATAATACGCTACTGATTTCGTTTATATTCAGTTTGAATAAAATACATTATCTGAAAAACTAACTCAGAAAGACCCTCGTATGTGCTTTTACGTGAAGATTTTTTTTTTAAATTATTAATCAATATTTACAGAAAAAAACTGTTTCAGACTTGTCTAGCAATCTTATCTTTGAATTGATATCTTTTCGTATCTTCATTTATGTCCGCTAAACATTTGATGAAAATGAAAGCTTTTCTTCTAACTTTATGGATTATTCCACAATATTCATTGCTCTCTAAACTTTAAGAATTGGAACTGTCACACAGTTTTTTTTTGCTCCTCCACAGTACTAAACTTTAGTAAAAACAACTTATAATATCAGCGTGAAAAGTGGGAGGAAAGTATAGTGCTGCCAACCGTCCTCCTACCATCTTTACCGTGTTAAATTGCTCGACTTTTATAGTACACATTCCGCTATAACTTAAAATAATTTTGAAAATTTAATATTTTTACATGTTATAAATATCCCTAAGTATATTACGATTCCACTTAATATTTAGGGTAGAGATTCCAAAGATATCAATAGCGCCCACCGGTACCGAGTGAATAACACCGAACACTGGTAGTAGTTGATCGTGGATTCGCGCCTAGCCAACTGGCTGGCTAAGTGGAGTTTTTTGGGATTTTTCACGTATCTAACACGTAAATATGGGCCAGTTTCCCTTAGAAGGTCCTTCCGGGAGGCATCCCCCTCGGCAGATGGCCCACGTCCTTAAACAATACTAATGCATTGTCTTAAATTGTTTATTTTGTTATTTGATCTTATTTTACGTTAGATCAATCGAGCCAGCTCAAAGGAGGTATACGAATTTCCCCCTTCGACATTTTACAATTGACATTAGATAGAAGAAAACGAACAGTTACTTGTAAAAATAGTGTTGGTTTAGTTATTTAAAATTTGAAAAACGAATCCTTTATACTGTCTGCGTATTCAAAAAATCGTTTAAGTAGAGAATACTGTACGTGATGTTTCTATAGAGAAAACATAAAGGTACACGGTTTAAAATGCCAGTGTTCGGGACCTTTGAGAGCTTGTAGGGGGCCGGGGTGGAGAGGGGTCCTTTAGCCATTTATTTATTTTAACGAGCGAAATATGTAGAATGCTTCTTTATTAATAAAAGGCGATCTTAAAGATTTTATTTTTTGTTAGTAATAAAAAATTAATTTTATAGGGGTAGGAACTGCTAAGGGCCTTAAGTTTTCTCCGAGTTTCCCAATTTCCCTCCAATAGCGTAACTAGAACAGATATTACGAGGAATCCGAATGAAAACGTGCAAATCTACATACACTCCTGTACCACTGTGGATGTAGACGCTAGTACTGTAAACGAAGAGTCAACTAGATATTGTATATACACGCGTATTAGTGCATTTGTCACATTCAAATCTTCCTCCTGCACTTATTTTTCTCAATTATTTATTTATGCAGGTAAGGAGACTCCCCTTACCTGCATAAATGAATGAGGGAGGTCCCCCGAGCAACTTCCGACTCTGCTGTATACTGCCGTAAACGCTTCACATTTTAAAAGTAACTGTACGAATCATTACATGAAAAAATAGATTATTTAGATTATAAATTATACTATACAGTAATTTTTAATTCATAAATTTGGAAAAATAAGATTCGGACTTCTTAATTTCCTGAAAAAATTTGTAATCGTCATAAACCTTCCATATTTAATCATATTCAATCAATATTATCGTCGTCCGATTGTTGAGGATAATATAGGCCTAAGCATTTTAAATTGGATATTGGAGGATATATTAATAGAGCTTAGAAAATATGTTTACGATTATTATTCAACTTAGGATATATTAAGTTTACTAAAATCACGTTTCAATGGGACAGGAATTGATTGGTTGCAAACTCCAGCTTCAAATCTATTAAGATATTAGTTTATGCAAACACACAGCAAATATTATATACTGTACTCTATATTTTGATTAAAACTTTCTGTAATAATTATTAACGTATGAAACAGTTTGACCTTTGTATATTGATTTACAGCGCAGTGGAAAAGCGGGGAAAGAGGGGCACGTCGGAGCGCCAAAATTCCAAAATTGTTACATGTACGAACTAATAAATTCATAGAAAACGAGCGTGAAAACTTTAATTATGAATATAACACGCATTACAAAGAGTGCATTTTTATCAGTTTTAAATTTGTAACAGACTAATGAAAGGTTTATCTAAAAAGTGCCATATTTAACTAGCCATGACCCTGTTGATTTATTGATAATATATTAATTACATATATATTCTTGTGTCTTCGATTTTTTCCCATCCTTATAGGATGGTCAGCGTGTCCATCTTTGATCCATTTTCTCCGTTTCTCCCTATTCGGGCTTCGTCCCTCCTCTCGAATCATCTTCCACCTTGCCCCTCCCCATCTTTTTTCCAACGTATAAATTACGATTATATATATAATTTTTTTCTGCTTCATACCTTAATATTATAACAGTAAGGTATCATAAAGGTAACGTAAATTAATAATAATTTATACGTAAAGGTGGAATTGCTTCGTAACCATTAAAATATTAAAAATTAAATAGTAGTTATTAATATTAAATTAATCTAGAGATCAAGAAAGTCAGCTTTGATGATGCGAGTTTTAATTTATTAGCAATAAAATAATCCCGTGGACAGTGTATTTAATTTAGTGTTAAATTTATAGTTAACAATATTCATATATATAGAAAAATCTTTTGAAAATTAGTTAAAATTCCTTAACAACAAACTGTGACACGGTTAAATGATAAATCAAGGACGACGAAAGCAGCATCCTACACGAAGTGTTTTGAATTTCACCTTCTAAAAGTGAAATCAATGTAAGATAAAGTATCAAATAATTTAAATTTTTCTGTCGTTAAATCTACATTTACGTGTAATGTCGAGTTTAGACACTTTAAACCATGATAATTCACTAAAATTTCTTTAGTATTTCACTTCCCGGCTGTTAAATATAACAGAGAAAGTCTCGCGATCGGTCAATAAATGACTCCCCACGATTTTTACATTTTTGGACTCGAGGCACCTCGAAACGTCCAGGGGAATAAATAATCTAGCATCGAGTTGCGTAACTTTCCCGGCAACAACATTCGAAATTGTGTATGGCGCCATACGTTACGATATTTTATTTAAAAACTTTTTATATAATTAATTATTATAAAATGACAAAAGCTTAATTTTGAGAGTAGGGACGAGATATAAATTTTATAAATGCTAATAACGAGTAAAGTCTTCATTAAGTCAGATCTCACTCGAGATACGACACACGACCACCCGTATCTCTCCACCCCCTCGACCTTTAGCCACGAAAATTTAATAGCATAGATCCCCTTAATACGAAAACCTCCCGGCAAAATTTCAGAAATTTTCAACAGAAGGCACGGGAGTTATTAAACTTCAAAATGGATGAACAAAACCATACCCCCCCCCTCACACTAGGTATCCGTATGTATTGAGAAACTTCCAATTTTGTTGCATTTCTCGACGTTTGAAGGTTCTCTAAGTGCAAAAATGAAAAAATCTTGGAGGGAGTGATTTTTTGACCGATCGCTGTACGTTTCCTCTGTTACGTCTAACAACGGGGTTCGCGTATTACAATTAAGATTAGGTATATTAAAATTATATTTCCAAGTTCGATAAAAGATGATATTTAATACAGTACAGTATTTAGGATAAATTTCCAGTTATTCCAGTGCAGAGAAATCTTCACGTTAAAGTTTAGTGTGAATTTGTACACAGATTAAACAGAACTGCCTATACTCATACTGGTAAAAGCCCAAAAATCAGTTAACCGTTCTGTATATGTTCTAGGCACGCGTGGTTAAGTGACTTTTGGACCACCCTGTTTATTTTAATTTTTTTTATAATTTAGTTAAATGAAATTTATTTAATTAAAAAATTTAATTTAGTCGCTCTTCAATTATTCCAGAGACCGATTTAAATTTATCAAATCGCTGGATTTGTTAACAATATTTAAAGTAAAATCGTTTTCCTTATTAATACGAGAGGAAATCGTCAAGAAAGGAACAAATATTTATCACCTTTGAAATGTGATAAAATTAATTTTCACGAGTAAAAAGCTTGGGGAAATTTCCTAAATTAAACATACGATCTGCTCGACTATTGAGGCGGGATCTAATGCCGCAAGAGCTAAATATCGTGCAAGAGTTGTGTTTGAAATGGCGATACAACATTAAAATTTTAATGATATTAACTTCAATGATTTAATGAGCTCGCAAGTGTTGCACTGGGAGAAATTATTTAAGCTTAGACCGCGTTACCTTAAAAATATACCCATAATTAAGCAACCGTTACGAGTGACTAGCGTGTAGCAAATTATATTTTTACTACAGTCGAGGGGGGAATACATATTGCAGATATCTGACCTTCTATCTAAAATCAATATAATGAAGTACATCCTCGACTCGTAATTCAATATCCTGTTTTGGATATAAAAATTCATGTATATATATATTTAAATTTATAAAAATAGTTTTAAATTAATTTATATATTATCTTATTTTTATCGAATCATTTTACTGTAGACGAAACGACACACGCTTTCGCTTTGAAAATTTTTAAATTTAAAACGAGCCGTACGTCACTAATTATCGACCAATCAGTTATCTTGGCAGTAAATTGTTCTATTTATTTATTCGAGGTGTGGAGACGATTTAAGTAGATACTCGTTTATATGTATTGTGGGTGCATTTGTAAAACCCGCAGAATATGAAACATTTTGCATTATTTTCGGTGAGTATACGTTTTATTTTGCGCATTAACCGGTACAAGAACGTTGTTCGTTTATCCGGGAAGACATGTTTTTTTAATGGCGGATAATGTTTATTTTCGCGAACAGATTTTTGTGTGTTTTCTTTGGGATGTTATTCAGGTACGATTAAACAATTCTATTCTATACTTAGAATATTACACAAGTTTGTAGTATGTATACAACCTGTATAAAGCTGTGATATATTCGTTTAGGGTGGATATTACGTGCCGGAATACGAAGTACTTTCCAAAAATTTATTAATGGTAAGCTAAGTTTATAAATAAGTATGTCGAATATGTCGTTTATATTGAACAGAAACACTGAAAATCTTTCGCCCGCGCTTTCATTTTTGAAATTAAAATATTCGTTTATTTAAGCAGAAATTTCTTTAAGAACGAAAACTGTGAACATTAGAAAATTTTTTTAAATAAATAACTCGGATCTTTACACATTACGAAACATACCCGAGTAACGTCACGCTTTTTCATTACGCACCAAGGAATTTCCCAGTTAGAAAAAAACAAGGAAATGCAAACTAAAGCCATTTAAATTAATTGACGCCATATTTTTTAAAAATACGACTAAATATAATTGGTGTATCGTAGCGAGTAGTGTTATTCAGTGGCTTAATATACCTACTGAATAACACGGTAAAACCTGTGGAAACTGGAATCGCACTGTACCGAATATTTCTTCCGGTTTCCGTTTTGAACGGGTTTTACTGTATATACGTTCGTAAAGTGTATTACAATGAGGTTAAATTATAGAATATTATCTTTATCGATTAGAATTACGAAGAGAGATTATATCCTAAACTAAACTGGGTGACGGTGACTTACAATGGATCCGACGAAGAAGCTTACAGATTGTTAAACAGAGGAACGATTGATAAAGGTAGCTCTGGTCACTTCAATTTCGCTTCTTTCTCTCGTCATCTGCCATTTAAAACATTAATTGCTCCTGTTCTAGCTCCACGAAACATGCCTCTAACTCGTAACAGAAAAGCTGGACAATTAACAGCTTTGCTGTTTCGCAAGACGTGTAAATATTACGAAAACAAAGAGAAATGTCTTTGGTTCTCCGTCGCTTTGCCTTCTTCGGCAGACGTCACCCTGGAACCTCACATGAAAGGCATGAGAGAAAATTCCACCGTTTATTACGTCAGGTAGGAAGCTCTTCCATCCAAGTTTACCTTTTCTGGCAATCTTACGCGCCATCTAATCTTTTCATTTGGTGTTACTTTACAGAAATTTGTGTAAGGAGTTTGGAATAAACGATCCTTTCAGCGTTTTCAAGATGGAGGACTTCTTGTCGGAGGGAATAGAATATTCCGGCGACTCTTTCGATGACAAATCTTTAAATTCGGTCTACAGATATTACGTCAGCAATATGAAAGACGACCCTAAATCCACTTTCAAACCGTTCTGCGAAATTTGGAAAAAGAAAGAATAAAATATTTACTACAATATTTTGTGTGTAAGAGTAAGTTACAATGTAGCTGAAATTTATAAATAAATTCGATTTTCGAGTCTAAATACCGATCGAAATTAATTAATTCCCATTTTAAAAAATTCCTCTGTAATCCTCCCGTTTTAACACCGGATGTGTCGAACCTCGCGCCCCTTTAGAAAGGCCGGAAGTTCCTATCTGCGCATGTGTAAAAACGGTGTAGTATCTTAGGAAGATGCGATAATCTGATGGGAATCTTTTTTCTCCCTTCTTTTTATCTAATATTCGTTCTTACGGGTATTATTAGAACTACTTTTACTTCGGTTACGTGAATTATCGAGTCTTTGAATACAGTAGACCGCATGACGTGCAAACGATGGGAGGTCCCGGTTCCGAGTGAATAAATGACGACAATAAATCTCACGAATTAAAGAAAGCGTAACAACGGAGAGGGGGGTTAACTGGAAGATTATCAGATGGCGCGCGCTTTTGTGCGAAATCTTAGTTGATACATCGTGCGAAAAAAGATCTGTTTCGCACGAAACTGGGGACACAAACACATTCCGCCAATTAATGCCCATTTTCCTCGAAAATAATAAGTGCTTTCGTTTAAAACATTGTTTTATGAAAATTACAAGCGAGAAATTTTACTAGAACGAAAACAATTTCACACACGGGTACATTTACTAATAGAAATGACATTATATTTCTTTATTTCAGGATAATTATTAACAGATATTTCGAAGTAACATAAATACTACCGTACAGTACTAGTTGATATATTACAATAGTTACTGTATATACATTAACGTAACTGTATATACATTTACTGTATATACATATACGTTACTGTATATACATTAATTAACACGTACTGTGTATACAGTAACAACGTACAACAACCTGTAAGTGTAGTATATAAAGTATACATAACAATTTTAATATATTAAAAAATAAATTTGAAAAAAAAAACGCTTTTATTGGTCGTTTTTCGAGATTGGGATGGGGGATGGTGGGCTGATCTCGCCTCGCCATATAGTCTACATCACTACAGTGCATTTACACAATTAAATTCCACATTTGGTTACGCTTATCGGGTATAGAGGTGGAGACACCCTCTAAAACATTAAAAAATGCATTGTCGCAGGCATGTCCTCAAAATTATCTTATAGATAAAGTGAATAATATATAGACATACATACATAATGTAGTTTAATAATAATAATAATAATAGTCTTTCGTGTTTTATACTTTTAAATTTAAAAAAAAAATTAATTTTGGTTTCCTCGTGTTAATGGAAAACTACTGTTACATATATTGTTCATTTAACTTATTTAATTGTTATTTGTGTATTTGGTGGTAAATTAAATAATATATCGTAAGTGATCCTTTAACATTTGGCTAAGAGAACTCGAATTAGGTCATACATTACTTGTAAGAGTACTTATTTAGTTAGCAATAGTCAAATCAAAATTACATAATTAAACGATAATTGTTGGTGGTAAAAATTGAATAAATGAGATTAATATTTAGACAAAAACATTTATTTTAAGATAAAATTTATATTAATTTGTGGCCCTATCATATGTTTAAAATGGGCAAAAAGCGCAATTGCCCGGGGCACCCACCTAACCAATCTTTTATAAGGAAATATTTTCCCGAAGAAAAATGTCTGAAGTCAACGCTATATACGGGGCCCCCTAATTCAAATTCACCCGGGTCTCGTGAAACTATAACGCGCCACTGTTACAGTATTTACAGTACATTAATTTTTATATTTTTGTTATATAATATGAGAAGACATCAGTTTTGGAGGAATATATTTTATATATTTAAAAATTTGCTTTAAAAATCAATTTTCTATCTAACAAATAGGCAACACTCGCAGTTTATATAATCAAATGTCCACAAAAATAAACATTTCGACGTACTCTCAATTGACTAAATATTTACAGCACTCTTTCCATTTGTACTTGTTAGATTCTTTTGTGTTGCGTAGAATTGAGAATGAACAAATGGATTGATTTAGGAATGAATAAACTCTTAGAAAGCAGAACGAATATTTTTTATTCACAGATAATAACCAGCTATATTTGTTTGTTACTAGAGTTTGCCCGTTCTCCTGGCAAACTTTTAGGAATTTAATAAAAATATGATTACAGATTTTTAAGTAGAAAAATCCTTAATTTAAATACTCAAGAATTAAATTATTCCAAAAACAAAAAAAAAATTAATAGAATGATTGTACAGTAGCGTCTCTGTAATCCGACATATCGGCCGGCGGGTGTCGGATTACTGGATTTTGTATGTATATATGTATGGTGTGTATTGTACTGTACATACTGCACAGTAAAAACGCACTTATTTTATAGGTTAGTTTAGCGAATTAATCACAACTGTAACTCTTGCCGACCGCACTAGCGACTGACGGTACACACAAATAAGAAAAAAGTACACGCGTACTGAACTGTTTCGTCATACACACGATTGTGTTACTCAAAATACTTTACATTTTACATTCATGTTTTTGCATAATTATATACGAATAAACACTTCTACAGTTTGATCTGTTTCCGCAATTAGGGCCGTCGATAGCTTGTTTAGGACCCGGGGATAGAGCGGGCTCCCTTTTACCTATTAGCGGGCCCCTTTAGCCATTTTTCTTAAAAACAAATGAAACACGTGGAATGTTTCTTTATTAATAAAAATGAATCTTAAAAATTTTATTTTCTGTTAGTAAAAACAATATTAATTTTATAGGGGTAAGAACCAATAAAGAGTCCGTAAGCTTTCTCCAGCCCGAAAAAAATCCCCACTTCCCTCCTCTCTCGACGGCCCTATCTACATTAATTCATATAATAAACTTAACGTATATATAATAATAATAATAATAATAAGTAGGATAAAGCGTTGGTCATCAGTATAACCGATTTGCAACGATACCGTCGGGTAACAGTTATATTACCGTCGATTAATACGGAATCTACCAATTATAGACTACTAGAATATCAGCGAGCATTTCACAGTTATATCAATTATCCATATTCGAATAATATTCGTCAGTTGTTTAGTCTCTCGACGATTATCGAATAAATGTGATAAACTTCATACATAAATTTTGACACTAGCTCGAGAAAAAAGCTTCTGTGATGAAACAAAGGTGTCAAAATATATCCAACTCCCAATAATATAATAAAGATCACTATATTTTCCAGTTAAAATTTTTAGATTTTGGACTCGGGACCTCGAAACGTCAAATGCAAAAAATTTGGGAGTTTTTTCTATGCGTACGGATGTTAGTGTGTGTATGTGAGCACTATTTTTTCACCGTTTTTGACGTTTAATAACTCCTGCGCTTTTGGTCAAAAATTTCTGAAAGTTTGCAGGGAGATTTGCGTATTAGATGGATTGATGCTATTAAATTTTGGTAGTTAAAGATAGAGGGGGTCGAGTGCCGTATCTCGAGTGGGGTCGGACTTAATGAAGCCCTTTTATTCGTTATTAGCATTTACAATTTTTATAAAACTGATCTTTACCCTAAAAATTAAGCTTTTACCATTTTATAAAAATTAATAATATAAAACGTTTTTTTCTTAATAAACTACCGTAACAGATGGCGTCACACGCAGTTTTATATGTTGCCGGGAAAGTTAAGCAATTCGTAATAAATCACTTTCAAAACTAGGGAGACATTTTGCTCGAGTTATCATTGATATAATCGGAAATCATTTTCTTTTACAATCCTATAAATACGGAATTAATGTAATGGCTTTTCACGGAGGATCGATATAAAGAAGAAAATATGTAAATGCGCTTCCTGTTCTGGCTCCACAAGTATATCTTCCATTTTATAAAGAACAAGGCCAATTGGCGGAATGTGGTCGGCACGATTTCGTATCCACCATTAATCATAAAAGATATAAATAAATCGACGTAAGCCCTTCAACGACCGTCGTAAAATAAAACGATGGAAATGAAGAACCTTCCCGCATTTGGATTTTCAAAATCGATGATTATAATTTATACTCGAGAGCTGCAAAGTGTTTAACTCGTAATATCAAATTTACCCATACTTTGAACGGTTTACTTAAAGCCGTAACTTCATCTAAAAAGGAAAAGGACGGACAAGAGCAAACTCCAATTTATAAAATATAAATGGATGGAGATATTCGATTACCCGAAATCTATCCAAGTTCATCAGTAGAGTTTCTTCCCGATGCGAAATAATAAATACTATTAAATTAAATTTCAGAATTTGGAAGTAAAACAATGAAAAATTCGCTGTACTTTGCGCCTAATCATCTTTACAAATCTCATTTTCAAGATCCGTTTTTATTCTTACTACCAAAACTTCTATTTACTACTTTACAGCTACAATAAATAATCAAATCTGTTGCGAGTGAGACATTAGATTTTAATTAAATTTAGAATAAATCTAATCATTTAAAATTTAATTTTTTCTCGAGTAATTCTATAATTTTTACAATCTACTCCATCCGAGATCTCTATACTCTCCGATCAGACTCCACTCTCATCAAAGAATGTAAAAGGTCGAGACAAATAAAATTTAAATTTCTTGAAATTAACACTTAAAAAAGATTACTACACTTAAGTTTACCGAAGCGCCGCTACTTTAAGGCTCGACTTTTTCTTTGTATTATACAATTAATTTCCTTTCGTAACGTTTAAAATACAAATAAATATAAAGGCCTAACACTTATTCGGCACTGGTAACACTTATTTCGACTTTCTAAATCCAGTCGCAAACGGGAGCTATTCGGCGGAACTTCCGATAACGGCCACCTCCGAACAACGGACACCCTTTCCCCGGGTGACCGTCGTTCGGAGGTTGGCCGTACATAAATAGCAAAAGCGTTTAGGTACGAAACTTTACACCCCGCACCGTGGGACACTCTGTCTTTTTGTATCGATGCAATACTGTATTTTATAATCTGTTTGTGAAAAAAATGTAATAATTAAATAAAAAGTTATTTCCAAACTTTGCCCCCGGTAAAGTCTCCGCCTATCCCGGCTCGTTATTTATATCGTCCAATGCATAATTATCTTCTGTATTTCGATCCGACTG